CTCATTCTGGTCATTATAAACTGTCAGTCTCTCTTGCACTCTCAATGCTCTTGGCAACATGGAGGAAGGGGAAACAATCTGACTCCAATACCGGGAATTAAGGAATGGGGATGGAAGGGGAAATAGAAAGAGAGGGGACAGAGACTAAAGACTGGGAATGTGAATAGGGGGAACCCAAGGACTGGAGTCAGGGACAGGTAAAAGAGCAGAGGGGGATAGAAATAGAACCTGGGATAGAAAATGGGAGGTGGATTAGACCGAGAGAAAAAATTCAAATGTAATTGGATAGGAGCAATGGGGACAGTGGTGGAGCAGGGAGCATGTGAATGCATAAGAGCAGAGAGCGACAGAGTCATACCGGGAAAAGGCATTCTAAAAGGGATTATAACTAGTAGGAGTATTCACCCTGCAGAGCCTGGAACTGAACCCATGAATCCTCGGTCACATCATTTCTCTGCTGTCTGTTGTGAAATCCATAGGCCTAGTGTTTCTTTCATCTAGTGGCTCATCTACCTAGCAGATAACAGCACAATATCACTATCTCAAGAAGCTGAGATCTATGTTGTGGATCTAAAAGTCCTAAATCTGTTGATGAGCTAATACGGTTCCACAAGATGGAATTTCTGATATTTTTTTGTTTGCTTTTAAAAATCATTTAGCATTGTTATGCTAAATCTTGCCCAGTCCTTTTATGTCTCCAAAATGAAGAAACAGGATAAGAAACAAGCTAGAGAAGGTAAATATCTAACAATCTGTATTGTGTTCTAAAACACCAGAAAACATTTACACGGAACATAGCTGTACTCACATGAGCCGATTTATATGAGTGAAGTTATGCCTGCATTTAAGTGTAGGATAGGAGCTTATCTCCAGAGTAGCTGAGCATTGGAGCTTAAATGCATGTAGTTTCACATCAAATATGTCTTCACTGCAATTGAGCATACCAGAAGCTCTAGCAGTAATACATACATCACCACATAATCCACTAACAGTGCTGCAGTTTCCCCTAGAATATACAAAATACAAATAAAAGCTGTTCTCATTGTGAAATTACACAGGTTTCCTTTCTTCACTTAAATTGTACCTGCAACTGTACCACACGTTTGAAATGCAATTAAAATACTTTTAGTCATGAAGCCATCCTCTGGCAGCAACCACAAGTCAGCATACAAATTATACCAATGTAGAGTAATGACATCCCAATCAGTGATTGATACTGGTGACAGAGACTTCAAGATAGTTGTAATGTGCATTCTAATGCTGCACACTTTGGTAAATTAAGCACTTCCAAGATTATTAATGACTGCATGATTTTTATGATGGTTGCTAAATAATAAATGGTGACAGGGGTTGGATAATATTTTCCATTACAAAAAACAAATCTGTAGATGGCTATTTTGCAATTACAAAGGGAATATGGTAGGGAAATTAACACATTTAAATATTGACATGATTTATTATATAATGTCATGTGTCCACGAATATTTCTGTAGCATTAATAGTACAATGAATGTCAATTTTTCAGCAAATATATATTTTATGAAGACTTTGATTAAAAAACGAAATAAGCACTAATTTTGGAGAAAGATATGTACAGTGAAGTAGCCCTGCAGATTGCAATATTTGTCTCAACTCTCCCCAAAAAATAGAACTAGAACAGGGGCTATGTCTACACTACACGCTTATTTTGAAATAACAGAGTGCATGTCTACACAGCAAGCCCGTTGTTTCAAAATAATTTTGAAATAATGGGCTTCTTACTCCAACTTCCGTAACCCTCATTTCACGAGGAGTAAGGGAAGTAGAAGGAAGAGTGTTCTTCCTTCAACTTCTTGCTAAGTAGACAGTACCAAAAGCCAAGTTAAGCTACTTCGACTTCAGCTATGTAATTAAAATTGCTGAAGTTACGTATCTCAACTCAACTTTAGCCCATAGTGTAGACATACCCACATGATCCTTTGCCAGTCACACTTACTTTTATTGAAAACTATGAGCCAAGCTGTGAATATAAAGCCACAATCCCATAGCAGGGAGCACTGTTCCAGCAGTACTATACCTAACATAGTCTCTGTGCCATCATAGGCTACTGGGAGAGAGAGCAGGCCACAATACTCTTTGCTACATCCTTTGAAAAGCAACAGCAAAAACGACATGCCCCTGTCTCAGACAGCTAACTGGTGTGAAGGGGGAGCTGGGCCTCATGACACAGTTCTCCTTGTTTGGGTAGGCTATTGCCAACACCAACACCATGTGAAGCAGCCGTTGTGCGCAGAGAGTGCAAAGGACTGAAATTGTGACTTGCCTCTCCAATCTAACAGCACGACGAGGAAAGAATCCATCTATATTCTCACACCACCTCACAGAGCAAGTCACAGTCTGGTCCAAATCTAGTAATGCATTTGGGTGGGGATGCTCAGACTACTACGACATGGTAAATGTTTTTACATACAAGCACTTTGAGGAAATTCTAGCGGTTTAAAAATAACCCCAAACTCGTCTGATTTCTCTAGACCCCACAACCCCCCAACGAAACTCTGTGATTTGCAGCAAAATATGTTTAAAGAATAATAGCTGTGATAGCACAATTGTGTGTAAGTGGCAAGCAAGTATGGCTATGAAACCAACATGATCATTATATGTAGTAAAATGAGTAACAGGTAGATAGGAGATATACAAATAGATCAATGGAAATACGCTGTTTCATAAACCACCGAATCTGCAGCCCTGGATAGGTAGTTGTTCGGCTCCTGTCCTTGCCACTCATACTTCCAAACGCTTATCAGAGAAACCAAACTATACACTAAACCCAGAGACTCTACTTCCTAACTCTAATAAGGTCTATACTCAGTTTTAAATAATAATAAGATAATAATTAGCAAATAGATGCTCCTAGTGAGCCAAATTAACAATTACCAAGATGGAGCAACCAATCTTTGCAAACAAATGACTGAGCTTGTAAAAATGATCTAATAATTCAGAGACTACGTCTAGCACCCTTATTCGTACTGAGTAAAGCCATTCTCTAGTATATTCACAGTGAAATACAAGCACATCTACACCGCAATTAGACACCATGCCACACATGTGTCAGCTGATTTGGGCTCATAGAGTTCAAGCTAAGGCTCCATTTTAATTGCATTGCAGAGGCTCTGGCTTAAGTTCACGGGAGACGACAGCCACACCAAGACCCTGGGCAAGGTGTGGGGGGCAGCTCCATGCTCCCAGAAAGGATGGGGGCCTCAGGCAGAAGGGGCAGGGCCCTCAGTGCCACCTTCCACCCCCCCCAGCACTGCCTGGAGCAGCCCTAAGAGCCGTACAATGCTCAGTGATTTAAAGGACTTGGGGCTCTGGGCACTGCCACTGCTGCAGCAGTGGTCAGAGCCCTGGGCCCCATCAGCAGTCCTGTTTCGGTTACAATTTGATCACTAGCAAGCACCCTCCGCCCTCCTAGGGCCCCAGACCAGACATCCCCACTGCGATGAAACAACCCTTTAGCCCAAGCCACTTGAGCCCAAGTCAGCTGGCAGCTTTTGAATTGGAGTGTAGACCTATCCAGGCCCTATCAGAGGGGGAGGAAGGGAGGGCCATTTGGCTCAGGCCTCAGGAGACAAAAGGGCCTCTAATGTTGACATTTTTCTACCAAGTCATTTCCATTTATTATACACGATACAGTTATAGCAGAGACAACAAAAGAAGCTATATATACACACCTGCAAAACATTATTTATATCATTATGGAACCTGGGGCCTTTGCCAATTTTTTGGTCACATCCGAGTTTTCATCTGTGTGACTGGAGACTGGAGTAGCTTCTGTGATTAGTGATTCTAATCACACTGTTTACAGTCTTTGCATAGCTTAGAGCAGTGGTCTCTAACCTGTTTACACCCAAGATCACATTTTAAATGTCAAGGCAAGGCGAGCCAAGATTTATCCCATCCCTTCCCTAAGACCCCTCCCCTTCCTTGAGGCCCCACCCTCTCCATTCCCCTCCTCTCCATCATTTGCTAACCCTAACCCTAACCCTAACCCTAACCCTAACCCTAACCCTAACCCTAACCCTAACCCTAACCCTAACCCTAACCATAACC